AAAGAAAGATAAAAAGTTATCCTTGACCTTGAGCAGCAAAAGATTTTGTAAATATTTACTAAAATGCAATTCTCCGAAGTCGAAATGATTTTAATTACTTCAAAAGGCATCGATTTATGTATTTAACATTTATTCTGTACTAAAAATAAATTTTACTAAATTATACAGTGACTATCAATATTTCGTGGAATCGCTGAACTAATTACAAAATATTTCCACGGGAACTATTTAACAGTGAAATTATAAATATAACAAATAGGTATACAATATGTTAACTTTTCAATCCTAACTCCAGAAGAAAATAGAAACACAATGCTATTGAATAGAGAGACAGAATATCCCATGTCAATACTTCTCACTTCGAAATATAATCTTTATTCTGCTTGATGCGTCGGTTAACGTACTGTTTACTTTAATTAAGATTGTGAAATAGGATGTAGCGTAGAAAACCATTAAAATTTACCATTTTTATCTATGACACGTTTGACAATAATCTAGGCTTGCTGTTGAATCAGTTGACAGCTTGTACCCAAGTAATACATGGTAGGAGTTGATAACACAATCATAGGGAACACAAGTAGAATTATGCAGACGCGGCAAGTCCAAGATAAGGCCCCACCAAGATCTAGCGGCAACAAAACAAGTTCGTTGCCGGCATTTTCTAGCTTTTACATTTTAACTTTTGTATTGTTAAGACAAAATAAAGTTCCGCTTTTTGTAAAGTTTTTGTCATTTTAAAAAAAAACAATTTTTATTAGCGAACCTAAAAGTTAGGTTTAGTGTGACGTCATTTTTTTTTTAAACAAAGCAATGAATGTCCCTGTAGTACTTGATAAAATGACGGTCATATTGTTGCATTCTCCATAAGATTACATTTATCAAAGATGTGTAATAGGTACTTTGTACTTTCCTTATTTCAATTGTATTGGTTAATATGACAGAGGAGAGGGGAATGTCGTATGACATTTGAGAATATGATGGACCCCTCCCCTATATATTGTACTAAAGTTTTTACAAAAACTTGTTTATTTCTTATCGTTTTTATTTGTAATAACTGCCTTTTAACAGTTTTGTAAAAAAAAAATCCCAAAATCGTACTACAATTTTTAAAATTCAGTATGGACCAAAATAAACAGTAGTTACGTAGGTAGCACATAATTTGTCAACTAGGACCAGATTAAACCTTTTCAGACACATGACTAAAGAAGCAGTCTTCAAAAATACACCACAAACCATTAATACATTAGAGATCTTTTGAAACTTTCAAAAAGCAGGTCTACATGATACGTATTTCTTAAATAAAGGAATTGTGAGTCCAGTACTGTTTATTTTGGGCCATACTGTATAAAATTAGAGAACATATTTTATAAATTGTGAAATTTAAGTGTAATATATTAACACAAATATATCTATTTGTTTATGATTACATACATTCAATTTATTAAAACAATTTGTTAATTTCTAAACAATGTGAAATAGTTATCTAATGTTTATCTTTAAGTATATAGCAACAAATCATGTTAAACCATTTTTTAAATATGTGACTTTTTTTAAGTGTTTTACATGCTGATAAGACAACAAAAAACTATGATAAAGAAAATTAAATTAATAATGTAAAATATAGGTACTTACTTTGATGTTTTACTAAAGTCATATAAAATATTAGCGCCCTTATGGACGATAACCTTTAAAGACTTAAAACTTGCTTCTTAAAGGTGTACTGTGGAATATATAATTGCTAATTATTCAGTTCTTCCACTTGTACACCCTGTAACCTGTAAGAAAAACAATCTAATTAATACATTAAGTGTCACAATGGAACAAAAAAAAAAAACATCCAAAAAATATTGCAGATTTGTGGCCACGTGGTAGCCGACGCTGTCTCATTGTGACCATTGATACGTCGGACAGTGTCTGCCCCCCATGGCACTTTAGGTGTTAAAATTTTTATATTTTTTGGACAATAGGAGGAATTTTACATGGTATCAAAAGGAAATACATAAATAATGAAACGTATATGACATTGTGTGCTATTGCTACGACTAAAAACAGTTTAATTCAAAAAAAAAAAAAACAACAAATACGAATTTTACTATTTTCCAGATACTTTCACTATTTGAAAGAAATGGATAAATCCATGCCAAGAGGGCAGATATATTTGTGAACACATCTACAATTGTTTTTTGCAAAACGATTATCAGACTTATAATTTTGATTCCCAATATGTCCCAAAGATTTATTTATTATACAGTGTCCCAAAAAGTATTATTAAAATGGGAAAAAGTGCATGTTGCATTTTGTTGTACCAAATTGGTTTGACTTTCTTTATAAATTAGCCAATATTTCATATAATAGCCATATTTAAAAAAGATAATTGGATACAATAAATCAAAACTAGAATCTTTAATAATGTATTACTTGTATAAAATAGACTGCATTATGCAATAACAAATTAAGAGACAAAATTTAAAAATCAAGCAAATGGTGTCCATCATTGAAACTTATATTACAAAACTTATTCTCAATTAAAATTCCATATTTTCCAAAGTTCTGAGTTATTAACTATGACTTTGGGTCAATTTAACAAAATTAAAAAGCTTTCTATTCCTGTTTCTTAAAAACACATAAGTAATTGTTCCTTAATTCACTATTACACAAGAAATGATCCACACAATGTTCTTATTGTTTAAGTGTTGTATTAAAATTGAAACAAGATAGCAAAGTAACAGCATCAAAAATAGAACAAGCAACAGTCACAAAAATATTCCTATATTCTTAATTTTTAGTTATTTCCTTCACACCAATGAAAAATAAATATATAATCTTTGCACTCCTATCTTTAAAATACAGATACTTTTAATAAAAAAATAATGATAAAGTAAGGAATGTGAAATAACAAGTATTACTCTCTATTCAACTTAAATGCAAGTAACTGGTAAAAACAGCTAGTCCCATGACCACAACATGATACCCACAAGCCCAACTGCCATTAACCAGCCCAATGATCCCGTTTTTTTAATGTTGTGGTCATGGGACAATTTAGTATATATGTATATCAAAATATTAATTGAAATGCTCAGAAAATTAGGTATTATAGTACAAACCTCATTTTAAGTTAAAATGACAATACACATGTGTCACATAACACCCTCTAGTTATCAGTTGAAATAAAAAATGTGGGGTTCCTATTTTTTTTTTACTTTTAATGCTCTTTTCTTTGAATCTATGCTTGCAGAAATTGATTATGGCAAATCTAAGTTTTAGTATTTTATTGTAAAAAAATATGCTTGACTCAACTCAACTTGATTACTTTCTATTTAACTGAGAAAAGAGTTAAGACAATAGATTTTCTTAAAAAAGTAGCTCGAGTACTTATATTTTTTTAGCTAATTTGCAAGGTATCAGTATGGTTTTTTAAAATTAGACAAATTAATTTTTATTGAAAATCTAAGTGTCAAGAGAAATTTTTTTTTATTAAATTAGTATAGGTGTGCATAAATTCGTTTCAAATTAAAAAAAATATATTGTAATAGCTTTCGAGCACAAATTTTTCTATAAAAAAAGATGGATTTTCTCTTAAAATAATATGAGTAAGAGTAACTAGGTACTTAATTTTACGAAGTTGTAAAATTAGATTGCTAATTAAAAAAAGCTTCACTGACCAGGCGGATCTTAGTAATCTTCCAGAATTAAAAAATACCTAATAAAATTGTTCAAAACTATCTATTACGTACTTAAATTTGTCTAGATTTTATAAAAATATGTTCAAAGCTGGCCATATTTACTTTACTGAGTATGAAATAGGAGATGTGGTAACATCACTTACCACGTTTTTGTAACATCCAATTTTATATTGCTATAAAAAATTAAAAGGGTGGAATATTAAAAAATTAAAACGAAAATATATCATAAAATAACTATTTTTTAAAATAATAAGAGATAAAAATATTAAATTGCAACTTGATAATCGTCTTGCACACTTCAGCACTTACATTACATTTATAAAATAAAAGGTGCAGTGTAGCCAACGCTAATAAAAAAAAAGAAAGAAAATTGTTAATTTTGACTACTCCGGTCTGACACAATAAATTCTAATCTAAATCCCTATTTGTGATTTTATTCTCGAATTAAATAAAATACTATTCATCTTTTTCTTTTTAATGACATATGAGAAAAGTGAAGGTCTTATTGTCGGACTATTTAAATTTACTGAAAGTCCTCTTGTTGTTTTTACTATGAGTTGAACAGAGATAAATATTCTCAGAGGCGCCAACTTTGATTAAGTTTTTACGATTCCAGGGTTTAGAGCAGGACAGAACTGTGGTTTTTAAGATCTTTTCAACTGTCACTTATGCGTGATGAACTGTCACTAAATGTATCACTGTGCCGAATAAACGAACGCAAATCGTATGTTCGAACTGTTAGAGTCACTACTTTGCAAAGAGTTTAAATTATCGAACTCTGCTAATAATTTCACATTCAGCCATTTCGATTCATTGCTCAAATGAGAGAATGCGAGTAAAGAGTGAAATACTTACACAACGTTGCCACATTTTCTCCAACAAATCTACTGGATGTTTTCGTGGAATCTACGAAATAAGTAATTTAAAAAAATATCAAAATTATACTATTGGTCTGCGACGAATTATATATAATAGCTATTTATGAAACCAGTTGCGAAATTCCTTATTTTATGTAACGAGTGAAAATTTGCGTGCTCGTCCCGCAAATTTTTTAAACGGAGATTAAAATGACATTGTTAATGTAAAAATGTCGTTTTAAACTTCGTTTAACCCAACGGTGGAATCGGGCCTTAGCAATACAACAATTTAAATTGGAAGTTTTATTTGAATAATTTCAATTTTTTATTTATTTTTTATTAATTTAGAAATCTTCTAACTAAAAATCTACTAAAAATATTCTGCATAGCAAAAAAAGGTTAAAATTCACCAAAAAATTATAAATCTACTAAATGTGGCAACGGTGTGTAAACAGCGAACGGCGTCAACAGCGAACAGTGATGTCGGCGATTTAGATTTTTATTTTTGATTTGTGTGGACTTTGTGGTAAAGGGTAAAATAAAATGGCGCTATGGTGATGCAAACTGCATGTAGTAGTCGGTGTCACAGTGTCGGTTTCTTAATAATATCGTTTATTTTACTACATCTATCGATTAACTTTTTATGTAAAACATGAATACATATTTCTAAAGAAAAAAAGTGAGATTGTTTCTATAATTTTCCTTATCATATATTTGAAACGGTAATGGAGGCTGATACACCTGCCGAAACTGAGGTGGATAAAAACGATAAAAGTGTTGACATCGCAAAAATGAATGATAAAGATATAGTTATTAAATTAGATATTGACAAAAAAGGTAATAATATAGAATTTACTGAAAAGATTGCATTAAATAACGGTTCTGGGGTTAAAGAGACTTCCACGATTATGGAACAAGCAAAACAATCAAGTGAAGATGAACTAGCGCAGGACGACCATGACGACGTACCAGGAGATTTCTTCGATGACTTTTTAAAAGAAGATTTTATGGACGGTCTAGATGTAGTTGATGAAGATGAGGGTGAAGACAAAATTGAAGATGATGAGGTGCCTCTGAAACCCAGTAAGAGAAAGAAAATTACTATTGAAGTTGAAGAGAAACAAGAAATAAAGAAGCAGGTACAAAATCAAGACTTAAGACAATTTTTAACAAAGGAAAAAGAAAAAATTAGTAGTAATGATTTGAGAAATGTATTGAAAGAAAAAGGATCGCGAAAATTGAAGAAATCCAAACCTAAACCTATAAATGCTGACGAGTTTGATATTCGCAGAGACCCTAAAAAAACCAAGAGAGACATTGAACGTGATAAAGCAAGATGTGAAAAGGATAAAGAAAAAAAGATTATTTCAGAAAAGCTTAAGTTAGTTGAAACAGGTTTAGTTCCTCCTGGTATGGAAATGGAAACGGATCTTGATGTTATAAAAAATCAGAAATACAATGAGGAAACTAAGACTTCTGAACCAAAAGGATCCAAAACATCTTCAAGAAGGAGGAGTAATAGTCGCAGTCGTAGTCGAAAACGAATAAGTCGAGAAATAAGTTTACCAAGAAGGTCGCCCATTAGGGGTCGAAATTTAAGAAGGTCATCTCCTAAAATAAGTCCTAGGAGAAGATCATCTCCTCGCAGAAGTCCTAGAAGAGTATCAAGCAATTTAACAAGACTCATAAGTCCTAAAAGGAGTCCTCTAAGAGGGAGGTCAAGAGAGCGATCTCCTAGGAGGTCAAGAGAGAGATCCCCTAGAAGGTCAAGAGAGAGATCCCCTAGAAGGTCAAAAGAGAGATCTCCTAGAAGATCAAGAGAGAGATCTCCTAGAAAGTCAAAGACAAGAGAGAGATCTCCTAGAAGAACTAAAGAAGCATCTCCTATAAGATCAAGAGACAGAGCTAACAGAATAGATGCCAGTCTTAGGAGATCAATAGAAAGAATAGACAGGGAAAGAAATAGAAGTCTTAGGAGATCAATGGAAAGAATAGAAAGAGAAAGAAATAGAAGATCAATGGATAGAATAGACAGGGATAGAAATAGGAGATCAATGGAAAGGGACAGAAATAGAAGGAGCAGAAGTCATAATAAATATTCTCCTAGGCATAAGAGATCCAGATCTAGATCTCCAAAGCGACGCCGTGATGATAAGAAAAAATCATTTTTACAAGAAATTGCTGATAAACTAAACGAAACTAGACCTGCAAATATTCCATATCAACACATGATGCATCCCATGCCTTCAGATATGTATCATGTTGTTGCACACCCACAGAATTTACATCAAAATCCTATCCCATGCCCTGCTCCTGTCCCTGTGCCCCCTCCAGTTGTTAATCAGTTTCAGCCCCAACAACAGTATGATCAGAGTTTCTTCATAGGTACCCCTCCTGCCTTAAATAGTCCAAATGTTCCAATTAATATGCCTATTCAAACAGGTCCTCCTCAAATGCCGGCGCTGCGCCTGAATGTTCCGCCACCAATGTTGCAGAATGCTGCACCATCTAATAATGCTGCACCATCTAACAATGCTGTTTCTAAAGTAATATTTAATTTTTAATAATAATTGAGGGTGTCCTTATGGTGGACACCCCAATAAAACAATATTTAACAATTATATTTTGTTTCAGTTGTTCCAAGATAAGAAAATTACACTTACAGAATTTCTATCAATCACTGCAAAACCGGAAAGTAAGTTCTATTTTACAAATAATTTTTTTGCAAAAGGATTGGGTAGGTAAAATAAAGATTGTCATTTGTTTTGTTTCAATTTTGGATTAATTTATTGATAGTTTTCAATGATTATTTATATTTGTGCATAAACAATTTAATAAATTTTATTATACTTGTAATAATATTTAATATGTTTAAAAACAAATTTTCGTTCTGACCCTGAGGTATTATACATTGTTTTCTTTGGAATACTGAAAAAAATTCAGGGCAATAGTTTGGCTAACCCATAATTTTAAGCAATGTAATTTAGGGCAAGGTTTGTTGAAAATTTAATAATTTTCAACATCTTTGATTGCAAGTTTTATTATGCTTGCACATTAAACAGGGGAAGGAAAAACTTTTTATTTTCAACTTTTATTGAAAATGTTTTTCTTCATAAAAGTTTTAAAAATAATAATTTAAACAAAAGTGCTTTAGTGAAATAATTTTTTAAGTTTTGGTCATTTCACTAAAGCAAAGATATATTCAACTTCTGTTAGGGTTCTTATTAGTTTTAAAATGAATAATATTTTTTCGAAAAAGTGAAAATAAAAAATTTTCCTTTTCTTTTTCAGTCCATCCCGTATATGTACCTTTAAAAAGCTATTATATACATACATGTATTATGTATTAGATTGCTGAGAGAGGCTCAATTTTTATCTGTCACTTGTCATTATTACTCATTTATCTGTTGTTATAATTCCTTTAGTATGTTATATACACCAGAAGAGAAAATTTTCCTGAGTACTCTCTCCTAAGCAGCTGTCACAAAATAGCGCTATTGTTTGAGCACCCAATCAAAATGCTTTTCGATATAGCACTAAATGAAGTAGCGCCCAAACAATTTTTTTTTAAATTGTCTATGATTTCTTCCATTTAGTCTAACCATTTATTTGCTCTTCCTTTCTTTTTGTTTTTACATTTCCATTACTTTTCTTGTCATCAGCATCAAGCAGTCCCACAGCTGACTTGCCTGCTTTTTGTAGTTGGGTGCAGTGGAGGGGGAGTAAACAAGTTATACTATGTCTCTGTGATGGAAGCGGTCAAGTGACCTGTGAAATTCAAATTAAAGATGTCCAGGGATCGTGAACAATAAAAAATGGCTTTGGTAAACATGGTTCGTTATTGGATTTGATGTGTGCCATATTAGTAGTAATTTAATTTCTGAACAGATTATAAAAATCGCCATGCGTTACTTTTTCAATGATGATGGGTGGGGTTTTTCTAGTTTTCCTCACTTATAAGTTAAATAAAACCATCAATCGTCTTTAAATCGCCCTGGAGCGCCACGGCAAATAATAATAATCGTCCCCACACAAGTCGGCTTCAGGGGTTGAAATTCACTTGTAAGGTGATGACATAGGAGAGATTATTATTATTTCCTCTCGTCTGGTACAGGGATCCCGGCCACGTGATCGAATATTTACGGTTTGCATTAAAAACTCATACTGACATAATCTTCGAAGCGATATAATTATTATAATTTTCACTAAGGCTAGAATTAATTTGGTTTCTATTTTTGCTGTTTAATATACATCCTCTCTGATTTTCTCTGTAGCTTTGGAAGTGCGTTTATCATGGAAGTGTGACTAACTGTTTATTAACTTTATTGATCCAGGTCTCTATTATAATAACAATCTATCTGAATTAGGGCGTGGTTCAAAGCCCACCCGTATTGTACCCCTCACAGTTTCTTGCTGGGTGATAACCAATTTAGGTTCAGAAAAATCATGTTTAAACTAAATCCTGAATTTAATTGAAAATAGTAAATATCAGGACACATTACTGGAATCACTGCACCGGAAGTAGCACAACCTGGCGACAGAAAATACCCGCATGGAAGCAAAAACGCATCTATGTGCAACTTTACTTTTAATTTAACAGCTCACATGACCGCTCCCACCACCGTTACTATAAGGGCCGAAATAATCACGAATTTATATAATTTACTTAATATTCCATGTAATTGAGTGAATTAAAAATCAATTATTATGCTATTTTTGCCCTTTTACATGTTTTTTTTTTAATATTGGAATCCAAAAGATGCACTAATGAGAAAAACACAAAATTATTGTTTCAATCGTAAATATTTTTATATTATCTACTCTATCTTGTATGAGCTATAAACTATTCTGTTACTAATGCTATAGTGTTATAGTTATAGCTCCCTTTCAAAGCTTATTAATTAAACTATTTTTTATGCTTAGTTTATTCAGCAAGTTCCGCTCACATGAAAGAAAAAATAAAGGGTAAGTTAAACATTTCTAACCTAGTTTTTTATTTTCAATTGTCGATAATGCAAAATAAATCTGTTTAAATGTATGGTTTTTCTTTATTGTTCATCTTCTCGTCCCATTGTTTTTACCGTTAAATACTTTACTGTTTTTTTTTATTATTATTATTTCGATACTTTGTTTTGTTAATGCAAATACAAATAATGAATATACTGGATTGCAGTAATATCAAGGTGTCAAGAAGCAATAAAATATCTGGGAAATAGTGAAAAGAAATTAACCGGACCGTTCGTGCTCCTCAAGGGAGTTAAGCCAAAATCAACTGCAGAAAAATACATGTCGCCACTATTAAAGTCTTCGCATGTCAAGCTGCCCTTCACCGAGGTTCCCAAAAGCGAACAATACCGGTCGGAATTCAACTCGTACATCGACAACCTGTTGGCGAATTTGGGACTCGTCGATGATGAAGTCATCGTCATCGACGACGCAGAACCAGCACCTCAAGAGACGAAACGTCCGCAAGACGCACCACCTCCTCCACCACCAAACATTTCATCCGGCAGAAAGAACGACCCCAAACCAGCATTCGAGTTGTACAAGTTATCCAAATTCATTCAAACCGACGCACCGGGTTGTTTCGATTGCGATAGACGTAAAAAAATATCGTTTAAAACCGTTGGTACACAGTGTGGTAACGATGGTGTAATGTTTTCTGTTGGCACGCAGGTGAGCGGCGATGATTTTTACATCAGACCTACGTTGCCTACGAGTCAATCTTTAGCGTCTCTGACGCCTGCACAGCTTCTGGCCACGTCTGGCATGTCTAAGCCTAGTAGAAATTTCGATGATAATGATTTTGATATTCCGTATCATAAGAAATTGCCCGGTAGGTCTGCGGGTTATGCATACGGGACGGACGTTTTTGGCGGAAACCGGATCAGCCCTCCCAAGTTCACTTCACCTGGACCACTTGGTCGACCCTTCGACGCACCCGGCCGACCCTTCGATCCACCCGACCGACCCTTTGACCCACCCGGCCCAGGAGGAATGAGGGGCAACAGGCCTGAAGCCAACAGATATTCGTTTAATAATTACTATTAATATTGTAAGGAACTTTATAGTTTTATTTTGTTATTGGTGTAACCGAATATATTTTAAGTCATGTGACAACATAGAGTTAATTTAATTTAGTACTATACATGTATATGTATTGAATAAAATATTGTAACAATATAGCTTAGTTCCGTTGTATGTTTTTTATTTTTCATTTCTATAACGAAAAGTTGATGTTCAGAGGATGCTTAAAGTTGAAGTAAATTTTGTATCGATCTTAACACCACCAGATTATTTTTTAAATTATTAACGCTGTGTAAACATTGCAAATATAATTTCGAGGAATTCAAAATTATTAAAAAAAAACTTGAATATCTATTTTTGTAATGATATTGAAAATATAGCTTAAAAATTATTTTAAGGAGTCCGCGCCTCTGAAGCCGTCATAAACGCTCAAGGTATCCCATTATACTTTGATTCCTTTTAAATCTTTATAACTTTTGAATTAGTATTTTTTTATCTATGTATTTTTTCATATTTAGAGAATCTTTATCTGATTCACTTCCGGTATAAATGAAATGCTTCATAATAGCGGCAGTAAACCAGGTAGATACTAAATATAATCGATAAACACAGCAAGTTCAGATGTTCAATTTTTAAAAGGTCCAAATATAACGGCAACTAGTGTTTATCTTTTTGCGCCCCCCTAAAGCAAATTTTTGGAACCGCTCCTCTGAGGTCATCATAAAGTAAGGAACATGCATTAACTTTTTGAAATGTGTTTGATAAATTAAGCTACGTACATTTAATTTCTGGCCTGTGCCAGTAGTTATCCCTCGTGAAGCTGCTTTTACCTTCCTAGGTACTTTTGTTCTTGATCATTATGTCTATTAGATTTTCTAGTATACAATTTCAATTAATGTTTTTCTACTCATTTGCCTGAATCTCTGCCAATCCCCTCAAATAAAAGAGCTATGTTTAGCAGTATACCTATTACTACATTAGAGATAATCGTTATACTCTCTTCTTCTTACAGGTCCTTTTAATCCATTACATCTATACTATATTAATTTTGCAATATCCTACCTACGCGTTTTTATCCCCATGCTTTTGAATGCCTGTCTTGTACAATCTGGTACTGGTAGACCCGACTACGTTCATAGATGAACTGGAATAATACCTATCGCTGTTGTACCGAGTCTTGCAAGCCAAGCTGCTTTTATGCACCCCTTTTGTTTTAGCCCTTTTTCTGTACTTTTGTACACTTAATGCCCTTCACCAGGTTGTACTCCTATAAAATATATTGTTATTTTGTAGCTCTCTTATATTTAGCTAGATTCTTTAAAAGGTCGTGGTGTTTGTGTTGTACCATTTTTCTGCACTTTTGTACACTTAATCCCCTTCACCAGGTTGAACTCCTGTAAGATATATAAGCAGCTCATTGTTATTCTGTAGCTCTCTTATATTTAACTTGATTCTTTAAAGCTTGTGGTGTTTGTGTTCAATAAAACTAACAGTATTATTCCGAGTTATCTTATTGTATTACCGTCTCTTATCCATCTGTGTCTTTGCAGTATGACCTGTCCAACGTTACTTCTTATTTCTAAAGTAATGTGTCAAATAATTCATCATTTTGTACGTGCCATGCCTCTTCGAGTTTTTTTGCCGTTTCTAATCGTATTTTTCATTAGATTTTCCCTATGTTGTACCCGACATAATGGAAACCTCATAACCTTGCCATTTAAGGTTAAGATTTTAGAATATATCCAAATCCAAGCCTACAGAATGATGCCAAGCTCAGTCTTGTTCTTTATGGCTCAATGATAAATTAGAGCCCGTGACGATCTATTCTTAAAAATGATTGCTCAAACACTCCATAATGCAAGCCTCATAACTTTGCCATTTAAGGTTGATATTTTAGAATGTATCTAAGCCTACAGAATGGCCCCAAGCTTAGTCTTGTTCTTTATAATTCAATGATACATTAAAGCACGTGACGATCTATTATTGAAAAGAATTACTCTAACACACCATAGATCCCAATTGATAAACTATGTGTTCCAAATGAGACAATAACTGTTTCTGAAATAGGTAAGTTTGTGTTATAATTATCCTTCAAATGTAAACGTTTCGACATTGCTTGTTTAAACAAACCTATAAATGTATTTTCAAATGTCATTTATTTGGTTTTTTGAGTTCAATTTGTTCCATCTAAGATGGTGCCTTTCGTTTCCCTGCCAAATTGCTTAGATATTGAATAGCTATAAAATGAATGATTTGGCGAATTGGTATTTTTATTTGCTTCTTTGTTGATTTAATTTGTTGAACATATACAAGAATTTGATAAGCATTCCTTACTTTATAATAACCCCGTATTAACAAAATTGGATATCTATACATTTTTGTTTTTGCGGTTTGAAATCAAATCCGAAGACAGCAACTATTTCAGTGTTTGAGTTAATAAGTGTTGATATTAAAATTGTTAATTTTATTATATTTATGATTTGTGAACAACAAACTGCTAATATTAGAAGCTCTTATGATGTCTGAAAAAGTAGCGGAAGTTGGAAGAATAACCAATTATTAAGGTGCAGCATTAGTTTACTTTAACTATCATGTCAACTTTTTGGTATTTTTTTTTTATTGACGTGTTCTAGTTAATAAAAAGTTGTCAGTATCACCAATAGCACTGTTGATAAACAAAAATTAAATTCTCACATTTTTTATTTAATATAATTCTCAAGTCGCTCATCGGTGATAATAGTGGCACATCTCAAAAAATTAATATATCCATAAAATACTTTCATTCTACTCGAAATTGATTAAAGTTTCATCCAAGACTGGCATAAAATTAACTGAGATAATCTCCCCGAGATGACAATTCTGCTTACTTACTGCATCAACGTCATATTTTTAATATGATCTAACTATAGATAAATGCTCCGGGTGTGGTAAATTTTAGTCGCCACGCATATAGTCAATAGTAGCACAAATAAGTGAGTAGTAACGCTTTTTAAGCAATAGTGGCATATTTTGAGTTATGCCACTATAATACTCTCCATTTTCTGCCAATTTATTAAAATGTGCCAGTATAGTTAAGAATAGTGTGAAATATCTTTCAAATATATTTTTTAATTAATATACCCAAAACGTTTATACTGATTTTTCTCCATAACCTTCATTTTTTAGTTGTGCCACTATTGGCGCCATTGAGCGAAGTGTAAGAGTGTTTTTATTAGGTATTGAGAATATAAGATCTTTGTTTGTTAACACGCACCACTAGAATTTTAAATTAATTATTGTGTGTCTTTTATTTGAAATCCAAAAATTTGTTTAGATTTAACATCTTGGTAATATGTATTAAATGACTGTAATAAAGGCAAATACGTCTTTTAAAATAAATATAGAACCCGATTTTTTTTATTTTGACGTACCTCTCCTATAAAATTGTACATATAGTATGATGCAAATGTATAGAATGTATTTCAAAAATAGACGACTTGAAAAATACCTAAAATACGGCGATTATCATTTTGAAAGGGCCATCTCATGATCTTTTTTAAATATAAACATGTTTCACGAGACACCTGCTCATTTAGAAAGATTTTTTTGTATAGGCAGATTGCCATATTTAACCAAGACATAATTAGAACTAACCAAGAATATTTCCTAACAACAAAAAGGCGTCTGTAAAAATCACATATTGAAATTAAATATTGTAATATAACTAAATTTCTTCTGACAATTGTTTACAGTTGTGGATCAAATTATCAACAGCGACTTCAAATGCTCATCAGTTAACTTTGATCTGTAAATATTTTTTATGCACTTTAGGAACTACATGTGCACCTTTAGGGATTAAAAGTACAAGATTATACTTAATAGCATTATTACCCAAGTATCACCATAAAAACATTTTGGGTTTATTTCAGTTTTAATGTGGTAAATAGGAAGATATACTGGTTTTAAAGTTACCTTGTAGATATACTGCGGGCACTTAAAAGCCGTTTAGCATTTAATACTGGTTTTAAAGTATCTAATAAGATTCGCTAATAAGGGCAATTAATCTTAAAAGTTTGTATGTCTTGTTTTAGTTTCAATTAACTTTAAAACTACTTAGTTCAAAATGTATTTAAAGTGGTTTTAAAAGGGTCTTCACAGCAGCTTTAAAATCAGTTGTTCAAGGTAATATAGTTTTATAGTGGTTTTTATTTTTGGTTTTATTGACCTCTTTCAGAGTGGGCCCTTTTATGCTGAAGGCGTATTTATTACAACCTTAAGGCTCCTTCTAAAACTAATTGATTTTAATTGCAGTTTTATTTTACAGTTTTAAAGCATCCTTGAAGTACTGAATAAAACCGTTCGGTGCTACTTGGGTACTTACGTGAACACTATAATAATTTTGCTTCTTCATAATTTTTTTAGTTTTTCTTTTCCTAAAGTGCATAAAGTAGCGTATAAACCACGGAACTGTAGTGTCTTTCGATCCCGAGGCGAAAAGTTTGTGGGCTCACTTCAGTCCCTTGGTATATTTAATTTTGGAGATTATTTTTTCAATAGAATTGTTACTTGGATACAGAAGTAGCCTAAGTCATAAAATTTTACTGGAAAGCCTTTTTTCTTTTTTTTTTACCAAAGTGTATGACCATGTGGGATAACTTACCTTCTTTACATTTTATGTTCACACGATATAAGCCACGTTCTGTAGAAAACATAGACATATAGATTGTCAACATTGAAACGTAGACAGTTGGCATTTTGCAAGAGTTTGTTATCAAAAGGAAACCCAATGCAGATGAAAAGACGCCTGATCAACTTCAGCTAGAAGCATCAAATGAATTCAAATCTTCTGTTGTCCTTCCTGTTTTGGATTTTGTCATGTCAAATTTGTCTACAGCTGGAAAATCTTTTAATAAGCTGGCGATATCTTAAAAAACTTGACAAAGGAGTACAACATGCCAAAGACGGCTTAACCAATTAGCAATTTTAGCAAAGAAAGCTGCGAAGACTTTATTATTAAGTACTTTTTTTGTATCCAGTGTCTAATGATTTACATAGATCCTAATTTTAATTATATTGCAACTTTTAATATTAATGTGTTAAATAAAATTCTTCATGTGGTCA